TAAAATCACATGATTTATAAAATGCAAAATTATATAAGTTCTTAAGTGTGCCGTATGGGAGAAAAGGACAAATCTTCATATGAAATCACGGCCCCATGTTCCCGAGGGAGGTTTGAATAACCGCAAATACTTAGGTGTGTCAGGGACAGTTTACACATGTTCATTTTGTAACGTAACATGTTCATTTTAAACTGTCCTGGCACACCTTGCTAGGTGTGCCAGGGCGCACGCAGCATTATTGTCAAAGAAAATGGTCAACACAGGCCCACAACAGGCTATTAAAAAAAAACGCGTTCATACTATTAGTTAATTATATTAAAGATTTTTCCCCAAAAATACATACACATCAGGGTAGGTAAAAGCTTTTTTTCACCGGCCCTGCAAAACATGCACTGTTACTTAAACTCAGTGGTTTGCAAATATAGCTGGATTCGAGTCGAAAGTGATACCGAATAATTCGATTAGAATTTTGGTTCTGGACTAACTTTTAAAGTTTATTTAATGAGTTGAACCGAGGTTATGCGAGTTGAACTCGAGCTCACATTTTTTTATTTATTAAACAAGTTGTGTCACACTAGCTCCTTTAATAAATGTGCATGAGTTCAAACATAAAGTATTCAATTCGAATAATCTAGTTAGACACTTGTATAAAGAAGTCAAAGTATTAAAATAATTCTTTAAATTAATAGAAATTATATGAATCGCACGGTAAATGGTGTTACAATGTGAATATTGCAATTATAAAATATATTTACTTCATAGTTGTTCATGTTCTATATGGACATCTATACTTTAACAAAAACTTGTGAATTTCATATGTATGACATGTCGTATTTAATTGATTTATTATTTATTTTTAAAACGTACAATATTTTTTTTTTATGTACTTGAATTTTAATTAGAAAAAATAATATACAACAACAACAACAACAACAACATACCCAGTATATTTCCAACAGGTTGGGGTCTGGGGGGTCAGTTGTACGCAGACCTTACCCTTGTAATTATACAAGGAGGCTGTTTCCGTAGACACGCAAGGTGCATTGCGCCGTTTGATATACTTTTTTTTTTCTAGAAACTTCTATTACTAATAGAAGAAGCACTAGAATTTAACTGAGTCATTTTGATCTAGTCCATTATTAGCACTATGCCAAGAGAATTGTCAACAATGACTCTTTCGGCTCCATTTGCAATGGACAATTAGAAAAAATAATATAAGTTATTAAAAAGAGTTGTTATGAGACGACATGTCATTTCGTTGAATATGTCACATAAATAAATGAGGTTAGTAGTAAATTTCATATACTTAACAATCATTTATTTGAAAATTCAATGAATATATAAACTAGATTGCGGAATCTATAAATTCCATTACATAGTAAGTATTCTAATGAAAGTCTGACATAATCAAATATTTGTCACAAATAAAACTATTTCAGCGGCCCACGATGAATATCCTTCTGCACATCCCTGCAATCCCTCTCAGGCGAAACTTGACGATCCTCTGCAATTGCCTCTTCCGTCAGCTGTGGCTCCCCCTGCGCCAGCTCGGCATCGGTCTCTATCTCAACCATTGGCGGAGGGGCACTAGGGAGATTGCGACCCAGGGATTCTTCCCTCTGTCGTTTTGATTTACTTTTCGGTCCCCTTGGTGATCCCACCAATTGGAATTTCAGGCATTCCCTTCGCGTGCTCATCCTCACGGAGACCTCAGTTCAACTTCCATAGGCATTGGCGATTCATCCATCCCTTGCGATTTACCCTTGCTTGAGGATCCCTTACTTTCTTTTTCCTCGACAACCCTTGTATCAATTTTTAATCCTTTTTTTTGAACTTCACCTCGACATGAAGTCCTCTCCCACTTAACCCGTTCTCAGTTAAAACACTATAGATCGACAAACAATGGCCACTCTAAAAAACATACATATCTCCCTCAAACATACATGTTTAACACAAAAATCACCAAATCGCATCAAAATTATTTACCTGGCTCAATCAGAGTATTTTTGAAACCCAAATGAAGGCCCGTATTGCCCAACTCTTCGTTCTCACACAACGTACAACAACTTCTGTCAGAATCGTCAAAGCTAGAACTTTTCTCAGCTTCTTAGCAAAATCTGCATCCATGGGCGGAGCAGTTTTATTATACGTTGAACCAAGAAAATCATTATTTTTTATTACCACGACAATCAACAAGCAACAAAAGGGAGGGACCAAAGCTATTTAAACATTTTTTCCATGAAGAAAGTCGGCACATGTAGCTGCAGGGTCGATGGTCCACGCCCTCTCCATTCTCCCACGATCCAAAACCTTTCTGACTTCCAACCATGCCGTGACTCCGGGATATCCTTTACAAAAATAGCATATTTACTGTTGCGCGGGTGAAGGTGAAAGTACTTCGATCCTTCTTTCGTAGTTCTTCACACATAGGTGGAATCTAGCTCCTTCATCGCCAGGGTCAACCATCCTCTCGTGACGAACATTGCCACCAGGGAGCACAAATGATATATCATGTTCGGATGTACCTGAATAATGCCGAAACCCCAATCATTCAGATATTCGACGATCACAGTGAACAACGAGAATCTTAGCCCAGACAAAATCGCCTCTTTGTGCACTGCAACACTCTTCTCCTGAGGACAGTGAGCTCACTCACCTTCATATGGGGCGAACATATTGACAATCTCTAGAATTTCACATTTCTCACGCATCTCAGTAAATCAGTGTCCTTCAGAGTGCTCACCTGATTACAGACCTCTATATCATTGTACTTCGATGTCTCTTGCATCGGCGGACGACGCCAACAACCTTCTCATGTGGGAATTTGATTTTCGACCCCTTCCATCTCCCGATCGCTCGATGACGAAGACATATTTGCCAACAAAAAAAAAGAAGAGAGAGAAAGGGTTATATCATAAGTTTTTTAAGAAATTCAACGTGATTCTGAAAATGCAACGATGTACCTCCAATTTATGACGTTCTTCTCCAATCATTGCATCCTATCACTTTAAGGCTTGAAGTCCAAGAGACATGCCTGCACCTTAACTGACATGCCATAATTCCAACATGATACATCATTTTAGTAAATACTTCGAAAAGACGTTTCGTATCCATTCGCGTAACCATCACGTGATTGACGATACGTATTCAGGATGTATCGACAGAATTTCAGGATATAGCTTTCCAGGCGGCTCAGCAATCTCTCCCCACTTGGAAACCTGGGGGCCTCTATGTTGTACCCACAAAATATCCGACCATATAAGCTCCTGAAGGAGGAAGGCCCAACAACCCACATAGCACATAAACCACCTCGCAAACAACTCAAGATCACAAGGCTAGGGTTGCCGATACCTCGATCAGCCCGTTGATCGCCCTCGGAGTCTTCTCGATAAAGCCTGCCGATCACCCACAAGTCTAAATTGTGAACTGATAAAGCTGGTAGCACCGCCCCATCTGTCCCATCAGGCTCTGAATGGATACACACGGTGCCACCCTGCGCTCCTAGCTGACACCAAGCATTTAATGCGCCATCACCTTTTTTCGTGTATAAATACTGACCCCCGGGTCTATCAGCAAAGGGGAGAGAAGCGATCAATCAATCAATCCACTATCACTACCATATACACTCCTATATATCTCGCATAGTATGATCTTCCGAGATCATATACATATACAATCACCATACTTGACTGTATTTACTATACACAGGTCTTAATAAAACTCCAGATAAATAATTTCCTTACCGATCGGGTGTGTCTTGCATTCTTTTTACGCATATTTATTTTGTCCTGATCTGTCCATATTCAGTACTATTAAAATATATCATAATTATCCTGTAACCCTCGATTAAGCGCCTTAAAATATATTTTCCATAACCGTTGGCGGCCCACCATCAACAATATGCTTCTCAATATTGTCTCATTGTTTTGTTTTTCTTTGTCATTGTTGAAGAATTGAGAAATAATCTTTATTTTGAATTTTCGAAGCATTATGTATGATGCAAAAAGTTGAAAAATTAAAGAAGTTACAAGGCACAAAATATTGCAAATCCGAACGAATGTGAACGATATTATGATAAACAACTCTAAAATCATTACAACAACCAAGATAGTCAATGATTTGTAAACAATGAATTATATAGTTCGTATAAATTCCAACTAAATAACATTAAAAAGGAAATATCAGAGCCTGGTCTAAATATATTTGAATGTTTGAATGAAGTTGTCACTGTTTGATGGGAATATCACAATCTCATTGGTGTATTGTGCTCCAACATATGTACAATTACTTTAGAGTATATATTTTCATGTAACGTGTGATGATTTCAAAAGATAATTTAGCGCATCGGGAGTGTATGTAATCAAGATTTTAGAAAGTCAGTTTTTTTTTTTCTTTTTTTTTATCGGTCTTGGAAAGTCAACTATTATTTGGAGATGAAAATCAGTCCCGCCCCGATCTTGAAAAGTTAACTTTTATTTGGAGATGGAAATCGTTCCCGCCCTGTGATACCTCCACGGGGTAAATACCAATTTGTTTGAGAGAATGATGTAGTAGTTTATACAATGATATAAAAAATATCTTGATGACACGATTAATTTTCACAAAGATATTAATGAACTGTTAGTAGAAATAACTTACAAATATCATATAATTGTGAAGTTTGACTATATGTTTGGCCAAAATATTTCTAAGTGTTTCAATATAGTAGATGTTTTGCCAAATGAGTTAAGAAGAATTTTGCAATACTATTGATGTATTGAGCTCCAACGAGTATGAATATTTCTCGTGAGAACGTTAAAACCAAAATGAAAAAAACTTATTTTCAAATCATCTAAAATAAATACATAAAAGAACTAATATATCTATTATACATTAGGTCTTATTTAGTTATTTAGTATTTATTTTTGTAATTAAAGACACATTTTTCATATATTTTTCTTTGAGTTATAAATATGTTGTTTCATTCTTTTTTTTATTAGGACATCGTTATGTTATTTTAAGAAAAAAAGTACATTTGAAGCTCATTTGTTCTACATTTTATTTCGTTCATACGACAATATATTTAATAAATTAATTAGTTTATTTTACTAAACTTAATATGCAAAAAAACATTCAACGCCACGTGCACGTGCACGTGCACTCGGTAATGGAATATTGAATGACTAACTTAAGAATATTATTGAAGTTTAATACATAACAAAAAAAAATAAAAATTAAATGTTAATAGTTAATACACACCATAAGTATATGCAAACCCAATTTAGTAAATTATGCCAAAATTACCATATATTTTCACCCTTTTCTCTTTTGCCAGTAAAGTTGCCCTTGGTTCAATAATTGAGGTACGAACTAACTTGTAAATTGCAAAACGGTGGCCACCAAATTTTCTGGTTTTTGGCACCCACGTTTGGACAAAAAAAATCCAATCTTGATAGGATAACAGTAATGGGGATTAGAAAAAAGAAAATGAAAATAATTACTGCCAGAAATGGCTGACAGTAAAACCTTTGCATATCAACCTTTTTACAAATTTTTACTGCCAGGTGAGCTTGAGGACACACGACAAGGACAACAAGATGCATAGGAGTATCATACGCGTCTTTTCCTAGTCTTAGATTAGATTCCTTGAAGATGGCTGTAATTGAAATTATATTGACTCAGAAATTATGTACTGCCGTTTTATTTTCTTTTCTTGTTATTTTTTGACTTTTTGTATTTTCTTGTCGCTATTTGTGTTCTATGTTACCCGTTTTACTGAACAAAATGCCACAAATATCATCCCCACAAGCAAAAACAACAGTAATATTTCATGCCCATCTCATGTTCTTTAGGCGTCTCTTTCAGTTATTACAAAACCGTGTCCAAATATTCTCTCTCTTCCATCTCTTGTTAATCGCCGCCCACGATCTCTGCCGGATCGATTCTCAGTTCATTCACATATTATCAGCTTAGCTAAGGTTAGTTCTGAGGCGAGGCGAGTCTGCAGAAATAGACGAAATAGTTTCCTCTCTTTGTTGTTCGAATTAAAGGTTGAATCTTTTTTGTTGACATAAAAGCGTGGCTTACATGAATTCTGTTGGGCAATGGGTCCAATTATAAGGTGAAGTTGTTTCTGGCCATGGATGTGTCGGTGGGCTTCTCTTTGTTTTCAGGTTTTGTGGTGAGACCGATTGAGAAGTGGTTTATCCGAGATTAATGTCGTTTGAGGCTACTTTTTGATTGTTCTTTATCTCCTCTTTCTTAAAACTTGTGTGTAAATTCCGATTTGTAATAAAAATGGAGACCACGATAAAATTGCATAATTTTTATGGTCCTGTGGTGTCTGATTTGGGGAAAAAGAGTTTGGAATGGGATTTAAACGAGTGGAGATGGGATGGTGATTTGTTCTTGGCTGCCCCTCTTAATCCGTTGCCGTCAGATTGTAGAAGCAGCCAGCTCTTTCCCGTTGGATCTGCCAACGAGGCAGCGGCTTCAAACTGTTTTCTTCCAGGCCCGGAAGAAATGATGCCGGGCCTCAACCCGGAAAACAGAGATTCGGAGAGAAAAAGAAGGGTTTTCGAAATCGAGAATGACGAGGCCAGTGGATCCCTCAATCTGAAGCTCGGGGCACAAGTTCTGGATGATGACGTGGCATTGCAGGGTAAAAGTGGTAAGAAGACAAAAGTTGCGGGCCCGCAATCGGGCCGTGCTGTTTGTCAAGTGGAGGATTGCAAAGCGGATTTGAGCAATGCAAAGGATTATCACCGGCGGCACAAAGTGTGTGACTTGCATTCTAAGGCTACAAGCGCTTTAGTTGGAAACGTTTTGCAGAGGTTTTGCCAGCAATGTAGCAGGTTATTATTATATTATTTTATCTATCCTGTTTTTTTCTGTATAGAAAGTATTATTTGTCCTTGCAGTGAATTACCACTAATTAGTACAACATTCATATGTGCAGGTTTCATGTCCTTGTAGAGTTTGATGAAGGCAAGAGGAGTTGCCGAAGGCGTTTAGCCGGACACAATAAACGGAGGAGGAAAACACACCCTGAGAATGTGGTAAATGCGGTTAATAACAATGACGAGAGGGGTAGTAATTATTTATTAATCAGCCTGCTAAGGATACTCTCCAATATACACTGTAAGCAAGCATCTAGTCTAATTTTGATCTTTGGCTGTTGAATGGAATTTTGCGAGAGTTTGTCCAAATATGTTCTTTTTTTTAGTGTCCACTGCTTGTTTAGTTGGTTCAATGTTTACATCGCCTCATTCTGACTTAGAGTTTAATCAGCTTCTCATGTGTAAGATATAATCCTGCTGTTTCCTTTTGTTAGTGAAGTGCAACTTCCTTGCACTTTCATGGCAGCCAGTTTAGGCTGATTTTTCAGCTTAAGATATACTCTAGGATCATAATCATGGTGTGGCTAGACCAGGATAAGTAGAAATATATCTGGCTGATTATTTGGTCTTAAAGAAGAGATTACGAATTGCTTACGTTTTGCATAATATAATATACCAATTTCTGTAATCTTTTTTCATTTCTTAAAATCGCTACTTTACTGACAGACATAAGCACCATAAGCTAACTTATAGCTTATTTGGTTAGTTTATAAGATTGGTTTCGTAGGATGAAAGCTCGAGCTTATCCCATAAGCTTTTTTTGTTAGCTTTTCAAATAAGCCTATTGAATTTTTTATTTTACGAAATACTTTTATCATATCAGCTAGCTTTTTAGACATAAGCCATATGCTATCAACTATAAGCTCGAAAGTCACTTATAAACTATTAGCTTAGCTAACTTATGAGCTATTCTTCTTATCAACTAGTTTTACCAAACATAGCCTTATTATTGTCTCTCAGCATTTTGTTTTAGGCTTACATAATTATTTAACAAACATTTCTAGCTACTCGGTCATTTCTAATATACCACTACTCATCGGACCTTCGTCAACCCTCCCTAAAAACACACCGCTCGCCACTCTCCCAAAAAACCTTTTAGATCTTCAATCCCTTAAATAGAGAGAGGAAGAGAGAGAGAGAGAGAGAGAGAGAGAGAGAGAGAGAGAGAGAGAGTCTAATGAACAAAATCTGAAAGAGAATGGATTCCGATTCTGTTGTTTGCAGGCCGGGTATTTGTAATTATTATAATACACAAGCTAAATGATGAGAAGTGGCGACATTTTTTTTTTCTAAATGCATTTAACTGGAATAACAATATCTTATTATTCCACCTATTTATGGTGTCTTTTTGTAGCTTCAATCGTTTTTCTCATTTTCAGCTTGTGCATATTCTCATGATTGGGATACTTATTTCACAGCTTTCCACATTTGTTATTTGCAGCCAATAGCTCCGATCAATCAACAAATCAGGATCTGCTGTCTCATCTTCTGAGTAACCTTGCAAATCTTGCTGGTGCAGCTAACGGGAGTAATATTGCTGAAGTCCCTGTATCCCAGGGGTTACAAAGCAAGGTGTTAACACAGTTAATATATATTTCTAAATCCGCCTCAGTATTTTAAACATCTTCTCATTGCATCTCATTTTGCAGGATGTTACTACGCCAGTTCCAAATGATGCATCCGTTTCACAGTCAACTTCATGCTTCCCAACAAATGCAAGCAACTCAACCAAGGAGTATACTACTACAGAAGGAAGGACAAAATTGAATAACATTGACTTGAATGATGCGTATGATGATTCTCAAGACTGCATGGAAGAGCGTACAAATGTCAATGCACCAGAAAATCTTGTTAGCATACCTTGTAATGGCCCATTATGGTTGTATAAGGATTCTCAACAATCAAGTCCACCTCAGATTAGTAGGAATTCAGGTTCCACATTTAGCCAGTCACCTTCTACTTCCAGTGGAGAGACACAGGTTATAACTCATTTCTGTATGGCCTTAAGAAAGTGAAATTTTAAAGTAGTATTAGTATAAATTGGGTTTATCTAGAAGACAAGGCTCATTACAATGTTAACCTCAATTTCAATTTGATATGCAGAGTCGAACTGATCGTATTGTCTTTAAACTATTCGGGAAAGATCCAAGTGATTTTCCTCTGGTCTTGCGGAAACAGGTAGATTTCCTGTTTTGAAATTAAACAATTTCCTATTGCCTTTTATTTTTTAGAATCTCATCGTAGAAAAGTTAAATTCTGTTCAAATGGATTTCAGATTCTTGATTGGCTATCCAATAGTCCTACTGACATAGAAAGCTACATTCGCCCTGGTTGCATTATACTGACTATATATTTACGTATGGAGAAATCCAGCTGGGACGAGGTAAGTTTGGTTTTTCACATCAAATACAAATCTAGTTACATATAGTGTCTGTAAATCTGTAACAAAATTCAGTTTCTTAAGTGGATTATGCTCATAAATTGTAGCATTGTTTGTGGTTCCTTGTTGCAGCTTTATTGTGATTTAGCATCCAGTTTGAGGCGGCTTCTCGACTCATCTACCGATCCATTCTGGAAATCGGGATGGATATATACTCGAGTACAGCATCATGTGACGTTTTTGTATAATGGTATGTTCGTATTTCCATCTATACCTTCTCATCCAAGTTCACTTGTTGATTAATCTTAAATTAACTCTTTTGGTGATGGCAATGGGTGACAATTATTTTTTATTTTTTTTTGTAATGTGGGCAGGCCAACCTGTTCTAGACACACCCTTACCCGTATTACACCATAGAAATTGCCATATATCAAGTATCAAGCCAATTGCTGTTACTGTTTCCGATACTGTTAAGTTTTCTGTCAAAGGATTCAATTTATCTCGTTCTACCTTGAGGTATTCTTTGTTTTGGTTTAACAGCAATGAGAGGTTATTTTTATTTTTTAACACGTTCTTTCATGAACTCAGTAAATCAAGGAGTATGCTCCAGTATTTACTCTCTCTCTTTCTCTCTCTCTCTCTCTCCTCTAGGTTGCTATGCACATTGGAAGGAAATTATCTAGTTCAGGAAAATTTTGCCGATACAACAAGAGGTGCAGATTCTTTTGAGGAACATGATGGAATGCAGTCCTTTAACTTCTCTTGTGTCATACCAGATATAGTTGGAAGAGGATTTATTGAGGTGAATTAATTTCTACTTTATTTTTTTTATTTCTTTTCTCGTGCATATATAATTTATACTCACACCACATGTTTTAGGTCGACGACCATAGTCTGAGCAGTAGCTTCTTCCCCTTCATCGTGGCCGAGAAGGCCATCTGCTCTGAAATTCGCAGTCTTGAAACCATATTTGACGTTGACAACACTGAAGAATTAGAAGATAGGAACCAAGCTTTGGAGTTTATACACGAAATGGGTTGGCTTCTCCACAGTTACCGCCTAAAGTGTCGGTTATCAGGTCAAAGCATTGTTGATATTGACCAGAAATCGTTCTCGTTCGAACGCTTCAGATGGTTGGTCGAGTTCTCAGTCGATCACGACTGGTGTGCAGTGGTCAGAAAGCTCTTGAATATTCTGTTTGATGGCACAGTGGATTCGAATATAGAGAGGCTTCTGGAGATTGGCCTTCTCCACCGAGCAGTGAGAAGGAAATGCTCGTCCATGGTGAAATTTCTTTTGAGTTACCTTCCGAGTGGAGTCACGGACAAAAAATCCGGGCCCTTACAGTATTTGTTCAGGCCCGATGCCATGGGGCCCGGTGGCTTGACTCCTCTTCATATAGCAGCCTGTTTGGATAGCTGCCAGAGTGTAGTTGATGCCTTGACTGAAGATCCTGGACACGTAAGCGCGATTTTTTATTTACTTTTCTTTCTTTAAAAATAAAGAAATAAATAAATAAAGATCCCCTATTGAGGCTTGCTTTCCTAATATAACATTTTTAGTGCAACTAAGAAGTAAGAAATTGAACCCTCCCTCCTTCTCTCACAGGTGGGACACGTAAGCGCGATTTTTTTTATTTACTTTTCTTTCTTTAAAAAAAAAATATATTTTTTCGTATGTTCACAATATCCATCCTTATTGCAGTTTACTTTATTTACTAAAGCAGAATCCAATTATCTTTTAGACTTGCAAAGATCCCCTATTGAGGCTTGTTTAAGTTTATCTAATAACATCTATTCTATTAATATATAAAGAGGTAATGATATTTATTTGAAATAACAACTAAAAATAAGCAAAAAATATTTGGTTTCCCGCCTAAATTATTTACTATTGAGTAATATTTTTAGCCAAAATTTGAAAAGTCCCGCCTTAATTACTGTAATTAATGTACAGAATCATTTTGATTAGATATTGCGGCTATTACCTTTATTAGTTGCATGATTTAAATTTGGAATATAATATATTGATAAAACTTGCAGCTATAACCTTTATTAGTTGCATGGTTTAAATTTGGTATATAATATATTAAAAATAATAATAAGAACTATTTAAAATTAAAAATAAAAAAATAATTATTCATAACGGGTCAATATTAACTTGGACGTAAACGAAATAGTCAATTATTTATAGTTTAATAAATTATTCAACTACTTAATCTTTTTTATTTGAATAGTTTCTACAAAAATAAATTATTGTAAGTAATGAAACAATATAGATTTTATATATATACTTATTATTCACATAGGTTGTTAAATATATGATGATATTTTACCAAAATAACTATTTTATGAAATCACATTGTAGTCAAATCGAATTTCTGAATAAAAAATTTGAAAATGATACTTATTGAAACGAATATAATATAATTTATTATCAGTTATGTCACCACACGATTGTGTACTAATTTTAAATAGACATTTTTATGTAATTTTGTACAATTTAAAATTTATATAACATTTTCAATAAATTAGTATAGGTAATTGTATTATATATTGATTCCATATTTTTAATTTATAAATATTACTTAATAAGAATTTTTAATGTATAAATATTAATGAATATCTCTTACCCGTGGACTCATACTAGTTTTTAGTGAAACTGAGAAGTAAGAAATTTAACAGGTGGGAATTAAAGCCTGGAAAACTACTAGAGACAGCAGTGGACTAACGCCTCACGACTATGCGCGCCTACGTGGCCATCACTCGTACAATAATCTCGTTGACCGGAAAGTCAACCACAAATCAGAAAGCGGACATGTCACCGTCAACATACTCGATGTAGCTAGTAACTTTGGTGTGGCTTTCGAGTGCGAGAAAAAGATGCCAAAAACCGGGCACGAAAAAGTGTGCGGGTCGTGCAGGGCAAAGAGACTATTGTTCAGCCAAGAAAAGTGCTCGATAGCATCATCATCACAGTCCTCTGTTAAGTTATATCGACCAGCAATGGTGTCAATGGTGGCCATTGCTGCTGTTTGCGTGTGCACAGCTTTGCTTTTCAAGAGCTCGCCTCATGTGCTCTTTATGATGTGTCCCTTCCAATGGGAGCTACTCAAGTTCGGGTCCGAGTAGGACGATTAGCGCGTGTACATTTTGAAAAAGTTATTAATTTTTACGTGCGATGTTCATGCCGATTTAGGGGATGATGGTTTAACTTATGGTTATGTATGTTGTGTGTTTGGTGTCACAGGCTTTTAAATAATAGCAGTGATGATATTTATTATTGTAATTGTTATTGGTCATGCTAGTAGGCTCAGTGTATTGTGTGGCTACACTATGAAGGGTGAGAATGACAATTGAGATGTATTATCAAGATTTTTTTTTTTTTAATTTTTTATTTGGAAGAATTGCATTATGAGTGGTTGTACACTTCTACTTCTGTTTATGTTGTTTTAAAAGTATGATATTTTCTTATGAAAGTATGCATTTTTGTAAAACGTCAAAGAGTGTGTCATCCTAATGGGTTAGACCAACCTAACACAATACCAACTGTTTTGAGTAACTGTTTTGAGTAACCGTTTTGAGTTCCACCATGAAGGAAAAAAATGATGAAGACAAGCAATGGCAATGTCAATAATTTCTTTATACTCTAAGAAAACACTATGTTGCCGGAGGGGAAGGGTCGATTCCGCATTTACATGTCTGGTTTGTTTCCTAATTCCTAGTTTTGAGTGTAGATGTGTTTTTCATTCGCTTAATAAACTCCTGATTTCGTCAATCTGACGTTCGAATTCTTCGACCTATTATGACACTTGCATGATACCACTTTTCCTACGTGCTGCTTTGTTGACAAAAGTGATATCATGCAAGTGCAATATGGAAATCACTCCCATGCCTAGTATCTGTATTTATGCATTAATTTGTAGTTTTAAGGGATAACATCAATGAACATCTATTCTTTTTTTCTTGTTATTCTTGATTTATATGAAAAGATCAAAATAATGTCGTACTTGAAATTGGAAGGTGGAGCTGGATAGGAGGATAATCAACCACTGTTGTACACAACCGGGCGTGGACTGCTCGGTTATTCAGCCAGGTGGCACCTGTTATCTGCTTCCAAAAAGGATCTCTGATGGCATGAACCTTTACTACATCACCTGAAGATAAGTCCCCAAACAGGTGCAGCTTTAATGGATATAACCTCACTATCATCATGGACCCATACAAGACTTGTCTAACTCTAGCTGACTAAATTCCCCATCCCTTGGATATTCATTTTATTAAGGATGAGCAAAGGATCGATTACTAACGTTTGTCGGCTTGTTTTTTAGCAGCTTTTGGTTAATGAAAACTTCATTAACCGAGAATGATTGGAGGAGCAAGATTGAAATATATGGATGGTATTGATTATGCAATTAAAGGACCTGACTACTAAATATTGATAAATATATATATATATATATATATATATATATATATATATGGATCNT